TGTCTCTCTCTCTCTCTCTCTCTCTCTCTCTCTCTCTCTCTGTCTCTCTCTCTCGTTCTCTCTCTCTCTCTCTCTCTCTCTCTCTCTCTCTCTTTCTCCCTGTCTCTCTGTTTCTTTCTTTCTCTCTGTGTTTCTCTCTCCATTCTCTTTATTTCTCTGTCTATCTTTATTTCTCTCTCTTTCCCTATCTCTCACTATCTACTAGTCTGTCTCTCCCTCTCTTTTCTCTCTATTACAGTTTTACATAAAACGTGTATCGTATAATTGGAATAAATTTAATGTACCACCAACAGAATGATAGATGGAAACGCATAATAACACGATTCATTTTATGAATTTAATTATTTTGGTTTGGGTCGGTTTTTTTCAGGAAACGGGTAGAAAGAAGATCGACAGGGAGAACTCCACATCTTTAGCAAAAGCCTGGTTTTTAATTACCGTGAACGTCATCTCCAGAACACCAACTTATTTACGTCACAAGTTACGGCGCAAGAAATTCGACACCTCTACAGAACGATAGAAGAAAAAAAAAAGGCATGTTGTGAGGGGATACGGATTTAAACAGAGACAGCGACACCCTCTTTCAGAACCGCAAAAGAAACATCGACGACGACAACAACATCAGCAACTACTATCAAAGAGAAAGAAAGTCGAGACCAAGTAGCGTAGTACAGAATACAGAACGAGAGAAAGGGAGAAAGAGAATAACAAAAAGAAATCCATACTGATCTCACGATAATTGATTAATCGAAGTCAAGCCATTTTTCTTTTCCAGAACTAGAGCGTCCATACAAGTGCTAATCCCATACACTTCAGTAACGAAATCCCCCCCCCCCCCTCCTTTTTGTGAAATTAAACAAATGCTGTTTACAACAAAAAAGAAATCGAGATCGCTACAGACTTCAGGGAATCTTATAGCATTTTAGAAAACAAAAACTAAATAAAATTGGTTCCCGCATTCCTTCATACATATCTGTCTACGACATACGTACTTCCCTTCCACAATTACCTGTATACGACGATATAGTCGATTCCATACACGCAGCCTGTCTACGATATCCCTGCTTCGTCCAGCGGTTGACCTCGTCAGATTTCCCTCTTGGTTCATTCGAGAAGTACAATGACCAAGTTTGGACTATTTCCTTGCCTGGCTCTTCCAGTTTTGGTTATTCAGATCTCACTGGTGTACTCAATCTCAGGTAAGCAAGGTGCTCACAATAATGTTTCCCATTTCTCTCTGATTTCATTTTTTTCTGAGGGTGTTGTTATTGTTGTTGCTGCTGCTGTTGTAATTGTTGTTGTTGCAGTTCTTGTTGTTGAGTCTTTTTTTTTTTTTACATCTCTTTACTTTTTTGTCTCTTGTCTCTTTGCTCCTTTCTTATTTAAATTTGTTTTGGGGATTCTCCAAGTAAATGGTCTTGTCGCTCTAGTTTTTATTCCTTTTATTTTTTTATTCCTGACCTAGCTTTTGATGACGAAAGGCAGGAACAATTTTTTTCAAATACTGATTAAATAGTTCTACTCAAGTCAATTTACTTTTTTAAAAAATAATTTTCTACAATAGTTATGATGATGATGACTCTAATTTATTCTCTCGCCCCTTCCAGTCCACCTAAGCTACAACTCTTCAGACCTCGCAGACAGCGATATCCCAGAGGTAGTGAACATTTCCATCAGTTCCAACGCAGATGTGGTCACAAAACTTGAGCTGCTACGAATTCCAGAACATTCGCCCAATGTGCCTTTGTACACCCTCCGTGTGGGGGCGGACGGGGAGTACGAATATCGAAAGGAGAAACTCAAAGACAGACAGGTGAGATGGTTGTGGTAGTGGTAGAGGTAGGTGTGGGGGTTTCTTTGGTGATTGCTGGGGTGGAAGTGGAGATTATCATCACCATCATCATTAGTCGTCGTCAGTAACAACAACAACAACAACAACAAAAA